GTTGAAGGACTGTCATAGCATGTTTGTATTATTTTGATTTGCTAGAATTAAATTGTAGTCATTTAGGATGAAGCTTAGGAAGACAGTTTGTAGTTAGAACTGTTTAGGTGCAATTAGTGAATAAATTGTGATTGAATTATCTAAGTTGTTGTGACCTTGAACTGAGTTATAAGTTTTGAATTTGAAAACAATTGAATTTGTTAGTGAAACTAGTTGTTCTGGAATGAAATTGCAAGGAGATTAACTTTGTTTCAGGTCTATTCATAAGGTGGCTCTTGTTAGTACCATATGCTAGACTGATTAGGATTAATTGTTTGTGTATGTGGGAATGAGTTCTAAATGTGTATGGTGTATGCATTGTAGGGCTTGGCATGGAATGGTACAATATGCTCATGAAGATTTGGTTAGGAAGATATGGATCAAGTAATGACATGAAGGTTTTGGTCAAAAATAAAAAATCATGAAGAACTTGAAGACTTTGGAGACTCGCAAGAATTGAGATAACTTATGAATGAAGAAGATGTAGGACTTAGGGTTATAATCAGTGGTTGACTTTGGTCAACTGTTTGACCAAAAAGTCAATAGTTAACCAAAAGTCAACTGTGGGCCAAAAATGTAATTTTGTGTGTAATTGCTTTTGAATTTTTTTGTAATGTAATGGGATGTTTTGGTAATGAAAATGTCTTTTGGAAATAAATGAATATGTGTAACTTGTGTTACAAGTAATATGTTTTTCTTCCATAAACATGAGTTCTTGATTTTTGAATGAAACTTTGATTGATTTGAATCCAAACTAGATAACTAATGGATTAGTGTATTGAACAAGCCCACAAAGATATTAGGTCAATAAGAGTCAACTTCCCGTGGCTGACTTTGATCAGGCCAAACTTGCAATCAAATTTAATGCCCTAATCCAAGCCAGGGTAACCAAAGACCCTAGTCTAAGAATTAGGGTACCATGAAACTTAGTCCAAGAGATAAACCTCCTGAATTAAATGTACCACCAAGATTCATAGGTTTGACTGCCAGAGAACCCTAACTCCATGTTAGTCATAAATAACAAATACTTTCAAATCCTTGATGCTTGTTTTGAAAATGCTAATGTGGACGAATGATATAAATGAATATGGTATGAATATACAAATGAATTAAAGATCAAGAGCCAGATGAAAAGTGAAAAGAAGTAGGAAAATTTTTGGGGTATGACAATGAAAAATCCATATCTTTTTGGTTGACGAAATATTTTGTTTGACATACGCTCTTCATTTATTACTTTAGTAGGATATTCATACATAACATATTAATAGTTCCTTCATCAGAGTGTTGTTACTCTGTAATTTTTGAATTTTTTAAGTTATACTTTTCTCTCATTGATTTCTTTGGAAAAAATTCCCTTTCTAAAAATACTCCAGTTTAAACATTAAATAACTTTCTCTCATAAGGGTTCTAGAAGTAATATCCCCTTTTCTTTTAGAAAATCTAAAAAAAAACATTTATCATATTTTGGATCAAGCTTAGAGAAATTTGTTTATTTCATTTATAATTCATAAATCCAAATATTTATGTAAGACATATGGGGTCTTTTGTCAATTCATATTTTATACAGTATTTTTTCGCCCATTTGAGATGGAACATGATTAAGTGTGAATGTTATAGAGCATGTTCCTATAAAAAAAAATTGGATGATTCATGTGACTCATCATTGCCTAGACATGTCTAACAAGATTCGGTTCCTCCTTTTAAAAACCTCATACCATTGCAATGTTCCATGATAGGCGCGTTAGAATAAATCTGACACTATTTAAAATAGATATCAAATTCTAGACTCAAATATTCACCCCTCAATATGATCAAAGTGTATTAATACTCATACCTAGTTGATTTTGTACTTCGTCTTCGAATTCTTAATTTTTTTCAAAATATTATTATTTGTGTTTCATTATACACGTGTGTCCTTATCTAGTGTAATTATTTGTAAATTTGATGATTCTAAAAACTTTATCTATCTTATGTGTTTAGGTTAGGGTCTATGTAAGAGGGAAAAAAACCACTATCTTTTTCACCTTTTCATGTGAATGTGGTCTTTTAAATATTTCCTAATAAATAAGATTCATTGTCTTAAATGATTCATAATAAAACAGAATCCAACAACTTATTTTTATGGGGTTTAGAAATATATTTCTCATATATATGGCATAACCAACAATGTCGAAGATAATTTAGATTCAACTTGTTTAGCAATGATATTATAGATATATGTTTTGAGATCAAAGACTTAGATTACATTACATATTTGTGAACTATCACAGAAAATATTAGTTAAATATACAGAGTAATATAAACAAGAAACATAAATAAGATTCTCGCTAATTGCAAGTAAAATATACTAGTTCTCTAATTGAAAAAAAAACACAAGGTAAAATTAGTTCATAAGTTTCCACAAATAAAGAAACAACTTTTTCTCCTTTTTCAACTCTAAGATCAACTTCACCTTTTGTCAATGTCCTCTTCGTTTTGAGTTCCTACATATTGCTATAAAGATGAATAACATCCAATATTAAAAAATTAATAGGTAGAAGTCTTACTTTTATTCTTTTTTCTGTTACAAGTATTTTGGTAAGGTCTTCTTTAGATGTCTAGTATTACAAAAATTAAATCAATTTCCCTCCTTGGCACCACTGTTTTTGGGTTTGAAAGCGAAAGTAAAAGGTTTGGACTTGAAGCTTCCATGCCTTCACTCATGAATTTGTTAAGCATCATGTGATTTTTTAAAATTAATTTTCTGACTATTGATCATCATTATGGCTTTCTCATTTCTTTGATAATATTACGTTAAACAACAGGATGGTCGTTGAGGGTGTATAAGGCGGGTGGTTATTAGACGATTCTGTAAACAATTATGATAAAGTCTTCTTCATATAATTTTTATTAAAATCCAGGACAAGTTGATTGAAACTATTTAACAAATATTGTAACATTATATCAATATATAGCTCTCACTATTACAAATAATCATTTTCACCTCGAACGTGAAGAAGATATAACCTCGCTTATTCAAGAGAGAGAACAAATGACGTCATGAAAACTCAATTATACCCAATTGAAATGGTCACGAGTTCGATCCCAACCATCAATAAATATATATTTTTTCAAAACTATTACCACATACTTTTCGGTTTTTGTCAAAAACGAAAGAAAAAAGATATTTTTTAATATAAATTAAATTGTTTACACTAAATATTAAATTTCATTATTTACAATAAATATTATATTATATTGTTTACTCAAGAATAATTAAATTACACAAAATATTAAATTCAAAGTTTCTAATGTTACAATGTTTTGTTTTTATAATCTACAAGTATAAATTTTTAACAAATTTGATTCATCATCATCACTTTGAATAAATTCAAATTTACCCAATACTGATCAAGCGGAATGGTTTGAACGCTTTCAATTCTGATATAACATAAAAAATGTTAGATATATAACATAAAATTCAAGTAAAAAGATAAGATATTATGTAAGAACATCAACTTTGCAACAAAAAAAAATGGTGCACTTGAAATCCATCCCAGAGATCTGTTCTAAGATTTCACTATTAATGTTTTAATTAAAAATACTTTCATTATAAATGTTTGAGTATTACAAAATAGCGTTCAAGATATATAGTGGCGGTATTTGCGTTCTTATTGAATATAGAGGATTTCTGGTGGATCAATGTGTTGGCAATATAATGGGTGTTGTTACTTTATAAACGTAGGGCATAGATTCGTCGTTGGTTAAATGAGTAACTATACCCATCGATTCTTTTTTAAAACAGATGGAAATATTTATTTTAATAATAATTAAAAAATAAAACAAACTAGAGACTTTCTCCTCAGTTTTATATTAAAAGTAAGGTAATATATTATCACCTTATCACGAAGGCTCAATATGAATGCATTGTAGGCTTTCTTAATCATCCTCGTCTTCTACCTCTCTATTAAGGCAACGTCCATACTTTCAGATCCTTTCAGCGCTTCTAGTAGACCTTGCTAAATAAGAAGGGGTCACATCTTCAAGCGTCATAATCCGAAATCATTTACTCCGTTGAATTTCTCAATCTCATACTTCATTGATAGAATCTTGATCCAGGTTGACTGCACCAGTTTGTTGTGATGTCGATGTCAAGAACAAAGTAAAATTGAGAGAAAGAGAAATTTTTGAACAAACAAAAATTCATTCAAGGAGGGAGAGAGAGAGAGAGAGAGAGAGAGAGAGAGAGAGAGAGAGAGAGAGAGAGAGAGAGAGAGAGAGAGAGAGAGAGAGAGAGAGAGAGAGAGAGAGAGAGAGAGAGAGAGAGAGAGAGAACAAAGTTGATTATAACGATTATTGTATTCACTTTCTCACCAAGCGTTAAATTATTACAAGTGAAAAATAACGACCAACCTCTTTTCTTACAAAAGAAAGAGCATCATATTTATAGATTATTAAAATATGTATGTTGTGTATGACGATAACAATTATACATGACATACCTAGATATTACATAACATAATACATATAACTATCTTCGACTACTGCATGTTTGAGTAAACTTCAACTACAACATGCACATTCAATCTTGTCGAATCCTAAAATTACACCTGCTGAGACTGGAATTCGATCAAATGCTAGATGATTCATCTATGGTAGTTTAATCACTTTTTTTTATATTTTGATTTGGATTCTTGGAATGTTTGCATGTCGGAATTGTTTATTGTTACTATATTTCATGCAATTCAAAATCTACCATATTTTTTGTTTTTCTCTTTTTATTAATAATTGTATATTGTTAAGTTACTTTAGTGTTGCCAACCTAGTTGAGATGACTAAAAATCAAAACTTCTTAGAGTGTTCCTAATAGTGTTTTTCTAGTCCTTTTAATATTCCCCTAAAAATGCCACTATATATGTGTGTGTACCATGCATGTCATTAGCAACATAAAACAAAGTGTTATTCTAGAAGGAAAAAAAACTATGAATAAACTATGGGCACAATTAGGCTCTATACTAGCCACCATGATGTTTGTTTACGCCATAATTGAACGTTTTCTACCACCTGCATTTCGAGATAGTCTTCAAATCTCCACACAAAAAGTACTAAACCTTTTACACCCTTACATCCAAATCACATTCCATGAATTTTCAGGTGAAAGACTCAAAAAAAGTGAAGCATACACTTTCATTCAAACCTACCTTAGTGAAAACTCTTCACGACTGGCCAAAAGACTCAAAGCAGAAGTCATGAAAGACAGTCAAAATCCATTGGTTCTTAGCATAGATGATGATGAAGAAGTCACAGATGAGTTTCAAGGCGTTAAACTTTGGTGGGCCGCGATCAAAATCGAAACTTCATCGCATGGTTTTTCATCCTTCTCGAATTATAAGCGATACTACAAACTCACTTTCCATAAAAAGCATAGAGATTTAGTAACGGTTTCGTACATCAAACATGTTTTGAAAGAAGGGAAAGAGATTTCAATGAGAAATAGGCAGAGAAAGCTTTACACAAACAACCCTAGTAGTGGTTGGTATGGCTACAAACAATCGAAATGGAGTCACATTGTTTTCGAACACCCTGCAACATTTGAGACACTTGCAATGGAGAAGGAGAAAAAAGAAGAAGTTATTGAAGATCTTTTGAAGTTTCGAAATGGTAAGGACTATTATGCAAAAATCGGTAAGGCTTGGAAACGCGGTTATTTGCTCTATGGTCCACCGGGAACAGGTAAATCTACTATGATAGCCGCTATCGCGAATTTCATGAACTATGATGTTTATGATCTTGAATTAACTGCGGTTAAGGATAATACCGAGTTAAGAAAGTTGTTAATCGAAACTTCTAGTAAAGCGATTATAGTGGTTGAAGATATCGATTGTTCGCTAGATTTTACTAGCCATAGGAAGAAGGAGAAAAATGTCGAAGAAGAATTAATGGAACAAAAAGATTATTATCATACTAAAGATATTGAAGAAGAGAATATTAGTACTAGTAGTAGAAATAGTAAAGTGACTTTATCAGGTTTGTTGAATTTTATCGATGGAATTTGGTCGGCGTGTGGAGGTGAAAGGATTATAATTTTCACCACGAATTTTGTGGAGAAACTAGATCCGGCGCTTATTAGGAGAGGAAGAATGGACAAACACGTTGAGCTGTCTTATTGTTGTTTTGAAGCGTTTAAGGTTCTTGTTAAGAATTATTTGGATATTGAGTCACATGTTTTGTTTGATGAGATTGGTGATTTGTTGGAAATGGTTAATATGACACCTGCTGATGTTGCTGAGAATTTGATGCCGAAGTCTGTGAATGAAGATGTTGAGACTAGTTTGAGGAATTTGATTGAAGCACTTGAGAAGAAGAAGGTGGAAGGACATGATGAAGAAGATGTTAAGGAAAATGGTTTTGTTGTGAGTGAAAAATGATGATGATTGTTACATTGTTTGTTGTTGAATCTGTTATTCAGTTGCATTATTAAAAGTGGAATGTGTACTTGTTTCTTTTCGGTTAAACTAGTAACTATTTGTGTAACATAAACACTTTAAATGGAGGAAGGGTGAGTATATGCAGCTAAAAGGGGGCGTAGATAGCACTTTTTTTTTAAATACTTAGTAGGAATCTTGTTTGTAGTCTTGTAAGACCAACCTTTATTATGGACATTTTATTCAACTTTTATCATATATATATATATATATATATATATATATATATATATATATATATATATATATATATATATATATATATATATATATATATATATATATATATATATATATATATATATATATTCCATGTTGGCATTGTATTTTTGCTTTGATTTCTAGTGAAAAAAAATTTAGTGATTTTCTTGCCTAAAAGAATGCTGTCAATAGTTATAGAAACCGATATAGAATTAAAAAATTAAAAAATTCTTTTAAATTATAGAATTAATGCTAAAATGATCATTTTCCCTATCAATTTTTCCTATTTATTTTAAATATAAACCTATATAATTAATACAAAGTAACATTTCCTAGTAATAATATAATAATTTCTCATTAACCATATTACTACTTAAAAAGATATTTGTTAAGTAATATGAGAGGTCTATCCATATTTTGCCCCTATAGATTCACTTTTTTTCCAAAGTAAAAGAAATATATGAAATTGTTCTCAAGGACATTATCGGTTATTTTGATATTTTGATTGTTATATTTTATTGTAATTTTTCAGTTCTCCGTTGAATCTCTGATCACACACAAATAATAGACTTTTCATGCATATAATGAAAAGTTGACTAAATTTAACCTTGCACGAATCCTTTCAAGATGATGCACGATCCAATTCAAATTGTCAGTCTAGTGGAATTAATTTAAATAACAACTGGAATTGATTCAAAATGATGTTTTTCAAATTCGTGATTTGATTATGTTTGTTGGAATCGATTCAATTATATTTTTTTCAAACTCTTATTTTCCTTTTGTTTGCTAGAATCGATTCACATACTTGTTCGAATCAATTCAATTAACAGTTTGATCATTCGTGTTTTGCCTCGGTTTGTAGGAATCGATTCACATGTTGGAAGGATGTGATTACAATGGAATTGATTCCACTGCCTCTTTATATATATAGATTTCTCGCATGCTTGTGTTATGTGTTAGATTTATCATTTTATCTAGAATTGCATGCCTCATAGATTTATTTCATTCATAGTCTTAATTTGTATAAGATTATGTTTGATTAGAATTGGATTTCTAAATAATTATGTTTGTTGTGAAAAAGGATGCCTTGGAACAAAATAAACACAGTTTTTTTATAGACAAGAAACACATAAGGGTTAGGATTAACAAAGAAAATAAGGAAAAACAACAAATGTTGGTTATAAACTGTTATTCTTTCTTTTCTCTATCAAACAAGATTACAAGTATACAAGAATAACAAATAACCTCTCTCTCTTGAATTAGGATTTTATCTTCCTATTTTTCCTTATGTAAGTTGAGAGACTAACATTCTATTTATAAGAAAACTAACACACTAATCTAATGGGATTTTTAACAATTATCCATTACAAGCTAACTTAGGGTACAAGCTAACTTAAACAATTGAACTTACAAGTAAGGCCCAATTCAACATGCTAACAAACTTAGCAATATTGACTAATGCATGTTAGAACAAACTTTGACTACAACACACATTACTCCGAAAGCATACTAGAGTTTGATCCAATATCTCACAAGTCTCCACCTTGGATCTAACTCTATAACATCAAGAAACTAGCTTTCTTCATGCAGCTTTTTCAACTGCATACAGTGGAAAAACTTTCAACTGGGCAACGTCTTGGTGATCATATCACCAGCATTATGATTTGTCAAAACCTTCACCACTTGGACTTCTCCACGCTCGATTACCCCTCTAACGAAATGCAGTCTCACATCAATGTGTTTGGTTCACTCATGATATGATGAATTTTTCGACAGGTGTATTACACTTTGACTACCACATTTAACAGTGACAACTCGACCTTGAAGTTTCATCTCCTTTACAAAATATTTAAGCCACAATGCTTCCTTCATAGCTTCAATTAGGGCAATATATTTCGCTTCAGTGATAGATAAGGCAACAACCTTATGAAGTGTTACTTTCCAACTGATTGTTGTCCTAAACAAAGTGAACACATATCCAGAAATAGATTTTCTGGAATCCATACAACCTGTATAATCAGAGTCGACATATCCTTTAATTGCTACTTTACTATCTCACCCAAGGCTCCACCATAAATTAAGACTATGTTCAGAGACCCATTTATGTATCTTAGAGTCCACTTCAATGCTTGCCAGTGAGCCTTTCCAGGATTCGCCAAGTACCTGCTTACAAGACTTACTACATATGATATGTCAGGTCTAGTATAGACCATAACATACATCAAATAACCCACTATATTAGCATATGGAATGCTATTCATATAAGCTCTTTCGACATCAGTACCTTGACACTGATCTATAATCAACTTGGATTGAGGGTTTGTCGAAGTTATAACAGGCTTTGAATTTGACATACCAAATTTTTCGAGAATCTTCTGTAGGTATGCCTCTTGAAATAAGCATAATTTCGAATGCTTATATCTCTTAGGATGTCAATCCCAAGAATTCTGGACCCAAATCCTTCATGTCGAACTTCTTATTGAGTTCAACCTTCACCCTCATTACATCTTCGACATTGTTGCTTGATATTAGAATATCATCCACATAGAGCAACAAAATAACAAATGAATTATTCGGTCAAAATCTAAAGTAAATTGTCGAACGCTTCGTTGCAGAACTCAAGGCCATTATCAGCTCTCAACCTCTTAACTTTTCTGCCAGTTTGAGTTTCGACCAGAACCTTCCAAATTTTGAAATTCTCAAAAGTTTCATCCTTCATATTCTGAATGAATACCATAGCTTTCTGGAATAGTCATCAAAAATGGATAGAAAATACCTTGCACCTGAGTGTGAAGCATTCCTTGCAGACCCCTAAAGATCAACATGAATATAATCTAGGGATCCATGTGTTCTTTGCTTGCCTTTGTTAAACTCCGCCCTACATGATTTACCAAATACACTAGATTCACAAAACTCCAACTTTTCGACTTTGTCACATCCTAGCAGGTTCTGCTTCCCCAATTCGACCAGGCCTCTTTCGCTGACATGGCCCAATCTCATGTAATGTAATTCTGTCTTCGACACCGGTTTCGTGGATGCAACATTTGTTGAACTACATACAACCTCAGCCTCAAGGGTATACAAGCCTTGTTTCTTCACTCCTCTCAAGACTTCCTTCGACCCCTTCATGACTCTTAGGATAATTTTCTCTCCTTGAAAAACATATCCCATCCTGTCGAATTCACCAAGAGAAATCAAATTTTTCTTCAAATCAGGTAATACATGAATTCATTCAATAACCTTATTGACTCATCATGGAGCTCGATTCTCACAGATCCAATACCTGCAATTTTGCAAGATTTGATGTTTCCCAGCAGCGCTGAACCACTATCTTGATCACAAAGCTCCTCGAACAACTCTCTGTTTTGAGTCATGTGTCAAGTGCAACCTGAATCTAAAATCCACTCCTTTCTTGAGTCGCTGCTTGAAACTACAAGGACGTCATATGAGTTGAAGACATCTTGAACAATGGTTGTGTTGTCATTATCCTTACCTTAATGATCTTTTAGGCATTCAGGGCACACCTTTCTTGTGCGACCCTCCTTCTTACAATGATAGCATCGAATACCAGATGCTTCGCCACTATAAGACTTCTGCTGATTTTAAATTTTTTCTTGTCGAAATTACCATCCTTTCACAAGAATTTTCATTTAACAGCCAAACCTTCGCCCACCGTCGAAGTTTTATGCTGCTTTCGTTCGTTCAAGTCCTTAGAATATAAGGTTGATTGAACTTCTTCAAAGCTTAAGGACTCCCTTCCATACAAGAGAATTTCTTTGAAGTGAGCATGTGTTCTGGGAAAAGCACACAACATAATAGTGTTTGATCTTCATCATCGATCTTCACATCAATATTTTCAAGATCAGGATTCAGCTTGTTGAACATATCCAACTGCTCAACCAACACTTTGTCTTCACTCATCTTGAATGAATACAAAGCTTGCTTAAGGTAGAATTGATTCATCAGAGATTTCGTCATGTATAAACTTTCAAGTTTAACCCATAACCCTGATGTTATAGTATCCTGATACCTGTCGAAGAACCTTATCACCAAATGTTAGTTCCTGATTGGCAGGCATTTTGGTAAAACTTGGTGAAATCACAAGATGTCCTACAGGATGTCTTGACATATGGTATTAAGAAACTGTAGGTAGCTATGTTTGTTGTTGCAGGATTTAGTTCATGAAGTCAAGCATGATGTCCTGACATTTGTGAACAAAACATTTTGAGAATATGTTTGTTTGTCTGTTACCATTTGTGCAATTCTTTGCGCTGCTATGATCTGTCCTTTATGGTTTAAATCTGCGTGGATTTAGTTCTTATTCAAAAATCATTTTTGATGCATATATCGTGGAATAGTTATGGATTCAAGTGGAGCTATTTTCTGAAGAAAATCTTAAAGATCTGAAGAGTGATTTGATTGGAGCTGATTGGATCAAATCAAATTTGTTTCATTGATACTAATTATTTAGATTGATCTCTTCGATCAGATGTTATTTTTGCCAAAGCCCAAGCTCGTCCAAGTGTTTCTATTTAAAGGATTCGCAACCCTAGTTTACAGTTTAGAGAAGCTAGGTTAATTTTGTGTATTGCGTAAGGATTAGTGCTGTTAGCATTCGTGTGTTTGTGTGTGAGCCATTCACTCATTACTTTAATGGGTGAATTGGACTAAGTTTTGTATTGTAAGGTATCCACTCAAAGCTTGTAAGCAAGCGTGTATTGTACTTGATTGAAGCTTTTAAG